TTTGCCTTGTTTGATGAAAACATCTTGTTTAATAGATCCTGGAAGTTTGAAATCGATCTGATACTCCAAAGTATTTTTCAGGATTTTTCAAAGGTGATATGACGGGGATTTTCCAACTTTTTCTGGTATTAAGTTGGAAAAAACCTCATAATTTTAATTGTGAGTTTCAAATTGACTTCAAATTTACCTTGTTTGCTAAAAAAAACCTAGTTAATGAGTACTGGAAGTTTCAAGTTGATCTGATACTCTGAAGTATTTTTCAGGATTTTTCAAAGTTGATTTATCGTGAATTTTCCAACCTTTTCTGGTATTAAGTTGGAAAAACCTTCATAATTTTATTTCTGAGCTTCAGATTGACTTGAAATAAAAAATCCTGGAAGTTTGAAATTGATCTGATTCTCCGAAGTATTTTCCAGGATTTTTCAAATGTTGTTTAACGTGAATTTTCCAACTTTTTTTGGTAATAAGTTGGAAAAAATCTCAAAATTTTCTTCCTGAGGTTCAAATTGACTTAAAATTTGCCTTGTTGGATGAAAACATCTTGACTAATAAATCCAGAAAGTTTGAAATCGATCTGATACTCCGGAGTATTTTCCAGGATTTATCAAACGTGATTTGACACGAATTTTCCCACTTTTCCTGGTACCTATTAAGTTCTAAAAAACCTCATAATTTTATTTCTGAGCCTCAAATTGACTTCAAATTTATCTTGTTTGACAAAAAGCTCCTGGTTAAGGAATCCTGAGAGTGTCAAGTCAATCTGATAGGTATCCGGAAGTATTTTTCACGATTTTTCAAAGGTGATTTATTACCGTGAATTTTCCAACTTTTTCTGGCAATAAGTTGAAAAAAACCTCTAATGAATCCTGATTCCTGAAAGTTTCAAATTCAAGTCGATCTGATACTCAGAAGTATTTTTCACGATTTTCAAAGGTGATTTACTGTGAATTTCCCAAGTTTTTCTGGTATTGAAAACTTTAGAATCTATCATGTAAAGCTCATCACGACGCCAATAATTTTGAAAATTCAAAATTGAAGCTTTTCTGATAGGAGACTTTAAGGACTAATTTTTTAAGATTCTAGAATTTGCTCATTTATAGGTGAATAGGTAAATCTTTAAGTCCCTGAGTTCATATATTTAGTCTACACTTCTCAATTCTGTGCTTAGGATTCCATAGTCTCATTTCAGGACCTTTGGAGCCTTTAATGAGTTAAATTAACAGACCGATAATAGTTATGAGTTTTTGAATTTGTCGACGTCTTTAGAATTTTCAGATGATTCAGTCACAGGTCTTTAAACACGACGCTATAAAGATTTTAGAAACTTCAATATGACTTATTTTTAAGATCTTGGAATGAAAGCCCTACAGATTTGACACCATACTCACAAAGATTCCAAAGACGGCAACAAATTTTGCAGAAAATAAATAAAGACTGTGAAGATATCAAAGACTTTGAAATGTTTCATACTTTCATGTAAAGCTTGTAAGGCACCAAAAATTTCAAAGACTCAAAATGAAGCTTTTTTTATTGAAAGCTCATCTGAAGTTGGTTGATTGAAGACTTGTGACTAGGACCTCCAACATTCTAAACACGCAAAAAAATTTAAAAACTCATACCCACTGTCGGTCTATTGATTAATCTTGAATGTATACTCAAGGCTCATAAACTAAGACAAGAATAATCTAAAGAATCCTAAGCACAGAATTGAGAAGATCGCTAACTTAGAAGGCTTGAAAGTCTCAAGAGACTTCCATCAAGACCGAGGGGTGAACACATTTGGCAAAAAGTGTACACCTACATCCCTCTTTTGAGTAAATCACCTAAGTATTCCCCCGGTTCTTAGAAATCCTTAGGAAATCCTACTACATCCCAATAAATCCTAGTACATCATAGTAATTCCTTAATAAATCCTTGCATATCCTAGTAATTCCTTGATAAATAACCTACATCCCAGTAAATCCTTTATTGTTATTATGATTATTATCACCTAATAATAATATTCCTGTAGGTACATAAATAAGGCATATTAAGATACCAAGGGCAATATGAGACAAATAAGTGCCCGAGGTTCGATAGAGTACAAGCCAAGGGCATTTAGCCCGAGGGGTGTACATCGACCCTTTAGTTCATATTGCCCGTGGTGACTTCAACGTTTTATGTTTTACTATTTTTCTTATTTCGAAATTTTGCCATTTTTGTCATGTTTCGTCCAAAATAAAGGTTAAATTCCTGGAAGCAATTTGACCAGTGTGAAACCGGTACACAACTGGCATTTTAATTGTTTATAATGCCTTAGGGCGTTATGAAACAATAACATCCCCAGGTTAATTATAATCTGGTAAAAACCCTGAAATTAGGTGGATTATTGTCAAATAATAAACTGGAATGACATAAATTCTCTATTGGTGTGAAGTCTTATATATTATTTTATTCACATTTCTACACAATACAGGGTGTCCCACGGTGGATGGCATATTAGACGTTTATGGAGAACTAAAAAACAGATCATTTCAAAAATTTGTCAACCGGGATAAACGACCATAACCTACACTTTAAAAATATTTTTGTTTATGCGGTGTTGACACCAACTTTGAATTTAACCGGAAATTAAATTTGGTGGAAAAAGGAATGTGAAATCGGTTTTCCTCTAAAATTAACCGTTAAGGTTTTCCAGCCTGTCAAAGTTGCAAAAAGTCAATTTTCAAACTGTCAATATTTTTAAAACAGTTGAACTTAGGTATAGGGTATATTACATGAAATCTGCTCAGAATTTTACGTAGAATCCAAATATACAATCACATACAGGGTGTTCCTTTAAAATAGCGATGTTGCTACTGGTTTAGAGCAGTGGCGTAGCCAGCCTTGCGGAGCGGGGGGGGGCAAACATAAAAGGGGGCGCCTAATTATGCAAGGACGTCGAATTTTTTTTTTCGGGGGGGGGGGGGCGGGCAACAAATTGTTTGTGTGCTTTTGTAAAATTTGCCTATTGGGGGAAAATATTGGAGAAGAAAAGCCGGACGCAGGCGCCGCCGGAGGCGAAAAATTTTCCCGGATGCCACGCCCAAAAAAGTTTATTTTAAGCCTTCAAAAACAATTTTTTTTCGGACGGGAAAAACATTTATTTCAAACCTTGAAAAAAATTATATGTGGACATGCCGATAGACACGGATTAGTTCAAAAAATCATCCCGGACGTCTTCAGACGCCTTCAGAACTAGAACAAATCCGGGGAAATCCGGAAGAATGACAGCCCCACCCAATCCATTAACCGAAACTCCTAGTTTAATCAACAAATAAATAAATGGAAGTTCATAATAATTGTTTTTCAGAAATTATAATGTAGGTAATAGAACAAATCAGAAACTGAAATGAAAATAAATAAATATCAGGCATTTGCCGATAATAACGACTTATGATAAAGTCTAAAGGGTGACTATGAAAAGGTCAACAAAATAAATAAGAACAATGTAATTTTATAATTTCACAATTTTAGCTTTTGTTTTTTAAGAGCGGTAGGGGCGCCGTACATGCAGGGGCGGGGGGGGCGGCGTCGCCCCCCGTGCCCCCCTACTGGCTACGCCACTGGTTTAGAGTAAAAGCAGCAACACCGCATAAACAAAAATATTTTTAAGTGTAGGTTATGGTCGTTTATCCCGGTTGCCAAATTTTCAAAATGATCCGCTTTTTAGTTCTCCATAAACGTCTAATACGCTATCCATGTATATAAAATACAAAAACCGTAACAAATGCTAAAAAAAAACAGCATAACGCAAAAGTGAATCGGTATACTTACATACCTAAATGGAAATAAATGAAAGTTCAAATTCTATTTGAGTTAGGAAAAAATTAACCAAAGTAAATTAGGCGGGAATCATAGGTTGCTTTTTTTTGTATATGCAAGAGATAGTTTCATATTGATCTTTGGTTAACTGAAAATCTTGATTATCATCTGAATTAGGCGTAAAACATACAGGGCCGTAAAAAAAATCTTTATCGACATCTGCACTGTCTGCCTCTTTCGGCCAAAAGAAGGTACTTTCACTTTTCTTTTGCCTTAAAATTTTATTCTGACAGTTTCGCCTATTATTTTTTCAAAACTCCCTACATACATACCAGCTCGCATCGTAGTATACTGCATAAAATTTGTTTACTTCTAATTGAAGTTCCTACTCGAGTTCATGTTCCTTGGCAATATCATTATACGAGTCATTCTCTGATCCTTTTCTGCTACTAATGCTGCAAAAACTTTCGGAGTCAGTGCAGCACTCACTGCGCACCAGATTTTTTCTGGTGCTGTCAAAAACGTACACTAGTGCAGTATAAATAGAAATCAAAAATGCAATGTGTCTCAAGGTTATGCAAATACCCAAAATTTTAAGAGGTTACTTATAGGTATACTAAAATCATGATAATCATAATGTTTGTTTGAATATGAAAATTGCACTGAGTGCACCTCTGTGCAACAAATGGAAAACGCTATAATACATCCTCGCTACATCCCTGGTAATTCCTATAAATCCGAACTACATCCTGGGTACATCCCTGGTAAATCCGGTAAATCCGAAGTAATTCCTATACATCACCATACATCCTAAGATTTTTAAAGATCTCCCTGTGCATCCACAGGAAATTCTCATAAATCCTTGTGTGTGTACACCATAAATCCTCATGTGTTCACCCCTCGATCAAGACTCATTATTCAAAATATTGAAATTAAGATTGCTTTGCTTATATTAAGACTAAGGATTCTAGAATGAAGTCCTGAAAATTCTGACGCTGTCCGCAAATCTCAAAACTTCAACGATTCTAAAGTTCTTGGATTAAAACTTTCGAAGACTGGAGATTTTAAATAATTTAAAGTGATTTGTGGGGTTTTTATCTACAGAACAAAAACCAAAAAATGATTTTGAGACACAAAACACTAACAAAAGACCAACCATTTAAAGTTACAAGCCCCACTGTAAGAAAGTTGTCTTTTTTTCTAATATATTATTTCAGATATCCAAGTATCTGGAGCTACCCTCAACATAACGATGGTAAACCGAGAACACATGGGAAAATATATGTGCATTGCCGATAATGGAATTCCTCCATCTGCTAATCATACGTTTAACTTGGAAGTTTATTGTAAGCATTATTTATTTAATTATACAAAATCTAAAACTTATTTGTAGTTCCACCGCTTATAAGCATTCCAAGCCAAATGGTTGGAATAGCCAATGGTTCGACGGCTGTACTGGAATGTGAAACTGAAGCTTTTCCTGAACCTATCAGGTAGATAATATCTAGTCAAGAGAAAACTCTATTTGGCTTATTGTCTGTAGGTACTGGGAACGATCAGATGGTAGACTATTAGAAAACGGTGACAAATTTCGTATAGACAATTCAAAAATAAAATTCAGGTACAAATCTAGAATGCAACTGAACATATCCAGAGTCACCTACCACGATATGCAATTTTTATATTACTGCATTAGCAAGAATGAATTGCAAATGACTAGAGGCGAATTCAAACTTTATGGTAAATATATACAGCTAATTTTGTACTATATTTATTGTCCTTTTAACAGAAATTGATCCAAGAGAATCTCAAGTAACTCGCACTTCCTACAAACCGACAATTTTCGGGGTACAACCACCAGAAAAGAAAGCTTTGGAGGACCTTTGTGAACCTCCGGTGCCCTGTAGACCTTGTGACTTTACCGAAGTCAAATGCAGTCCTAGCGGGGTATCACTTATTGATTTGATTAGCCGATGGGAAGTAAGACCTTATGGAGATACGAGATATCCCATGGTGAACCTAACTAGAGCTACAGGTTAAAGGGATTGGATGAAATATATATTTTTTTAAAATAATTTTTGTGCTTTAGATTGTGTGATTTATGCTGTTGGCAAACCTGTTTATAACCGATTTTCTGATTTCATCTATGGGTGCTGGATGACAGATGCCCATCCTGAAGCAAAACCTGGATTCATTTGGGTTACAAACGAAACTAGTTCGAATGAACTTATTGAGTATCGAAATAAGAGTGCTTATAGGAAAAATGATCCATCAAAGTAAGATTCTATTTAATATTACATATACCAAAAGTTTATATACTCTATATATTTTTCTAGTGTCTATAGATTAGATCATCCTTTTGGCGGCAACGCCCATGTAGTGTTTAACGGCTCCTTCTTTTATAACATCAAAGGCACCAAAAGGATTTTAAAATACAACTTAGCAAACAAAAACACAGTATCCCTTGATCTTCCGGGAGATATGAATCGAACATCGAAACTTTACTCTGGCCAATACAATTATGTGGATTTTTCTGTGGACGAAAATGGTTTGTGGCTTATTTTTGCTGTGTCCGAGTCTAATAACACTGCTATCATGAAAGTGAGTCAATTTTTGAGTTGAAATTGGTTATTTTTAAACAAAAATTCCAGGTTGATATAGATCCAATGACGCCTAATTATATTTGGAACATAAGTATAGATCATCACAAAGTTGGTGAAATGTTTATAGCTTGTGGAGTTTTATACGCAGTCGATAGTATTTCCGATAGGACTAGCAAAATTCGATTCGCACTTGATTTGTATAAGAACGTACTTTTAGATGTGAATCTGCAATTTTCTAATCCGTTTAGGAAAACTACAATGTTGAGTTACAATCATAAAACTAAAGTAATAATCAATAATATAGTTTGAGATTAGATTTTGATGTAATGAACATTGTTTTTAGGAATTATACTCATGGGATAAAGGTAATCAACTTACGTATCCAGTAAGATCTCATGATATTGGCTATAATTATAATCAGACTATGAAGGATGAAAGGGTAGATATATCGGATAGGCCCACAGCCGCAAAACATACTGGCTATGAAGTAGACTAGTACCAATAATGTTTGTAACAATTATGCTTAATAATATCAATTTTTTTTTTACTTAGCATTTTTATTAAAGGAATTTTTAGTAGAAGAAAAAAAGGTTTAAATTAGAATTATTTTTTCAAAAACCTTAAACCAGAAAATTCGCGGAGAACTGATATACTAGAAACTAAGTAAGTTTTAAGGATGAAATTATGTAATAGATTCTTATTCTTATACGATAATATGTTGTATCATCTGAAATTTCAATATTTAAAAGACAAAATAGAATTCCAGTTTCAGAAGGGACGTTGATTTTGAGCCGAAAATAATTTCGTTCCTGTTTATGTGCCAACGTTTTTGATGGTCTGACCAAAGCCCTGAAATGAGTTGGTTATCTAGATGAAGTCCCCAATCTAGATTCGATGCGTCCTTTGTAGTAAGAAATTTTTGATTTTTCTTGACGAAGATGTCCAACTTCACTTAAATGAATAGCCTTGATCTGTCATTTAAATTCTTCCAGGACTTTCATGAGGAATGGATACAGTTTACTTGGTAATTGCTCTGGCAAGTTGCGATAACTCTTCTGTATCCATCTGCAGCTCTTTTACCACAAACATATGGAAAAAAAATTTCTGGGATGTTCCGAAAGTTTGCGTCCCGCAAAGAGAAATTATTAAATTATTAAAATCATTCGTTGCCTCTCTAATTGCTTTCCTAATGATAAACCTGCATTCCTTCCACTAATGCTGAAGTAATAATCCATAGCTGATACCCATTAAATTATCTCTTGGTCAGTAACTCGACATATTGACTAGAAGTCCGAGAGTTAACCTGTAGATTAACCTTAGGTTGAGAAAAGACACCACTAGCTCGCTTGTAACTTTTTTTGAGCCTCCACATAATCGGATCGAGCGGTTTTGCAATAAGGAACTTGCACATTAAATTAAATATGGAATAAATAATAAAACACAATAATAATCATCCTAATAAATGATGCAATTAACAAAAAAATATAATATCTTATCTCTGGTGTCCAAAATCTTTAATTGAAAATACCAAAATAATTCGAAATTCATGACGCGATCAAAAACGTGTTTCTATGGGTCGTGACGTTACAAAGCAGTAATAATCGGGTCACGCCGCTGCTACGTGCTGCTGCTGTCGCCAATGTCAAATATATCAGAAACTGCATACATAACAACATAACCATAATCTTAATCTACCTGCTCGAAGTTCGAAGTGCTGGTCACTGTCATCAGAATTTTGTTGCCGAGGGACGTCAGACTAATCGGTCGTTTCAAATGGCGATGTTTCGAGCGTAACTTCAAATATTTATAAAAAATTAAGGGCGGATTTTTATTGCTTGATATTTGGCATGACTATGTCTTTAGTGTAGTAGAACACATTTTTGAAATAAAATAAAAAAAATTGCAAGTTCCCTATTGATTTGAAATCGAGAGTGATATTTTCGTTTCCTATTATTGAAGGAGGAACTTGCCTGACTATATCCGATTCGCTATTGGACATCGTCTATCTTTCTTCATCTTCTGAAGTGTTTTCCTGAACGCGCGTTTGATCGATAAGTTCTTGCAATAGATGTTCAATAATTCTTTCTTGGCGGTCTATCAAGGTATCCAGTCTAAATCTTTTTGTACTTGGGGAGCCTGCTCTTTGGTTTTTTTTTTACTCATCAGAACACTGCTTGCCCAATTCGACTGACGTCTTCATTCTTCTTCTTTCAGAAACAGATGCTTTCAGGGATCAGTTCGCGTTGTGAGGTTGACCCGCGGATTCTAATGGATAAATTTGGAGGACTAATCTCAAGCAGATGAATCTTGATATTCCCATAAGGCCTTTCTATCAAGCATATATGTTGCGTTAGGGTTGAAACATTTTGCAATTCCTATCGTATAGGCAAAGCGAATCACAATAATTTGCTAAGGATTTGCTAGTCTACCAAACAAATTTCTTTTTTCCCATCATTGACCTGCCATTCAGTCCATCAATTTAGCAGATACTCTTTGGCTAACTTCCTGAAGCTTGTTCAGCTACCTTATCAGTTCTCTCAATATAGGCTGAGTTCGTTTATTACATCTGCGAGCAAAAAGAGCAAATTTTGACAGATGTCACGTGATTTGACACGTGAAAAAAGATAAGTGATCAGAAAATTTGCTCTTTTTGCTCGCAGATGTAATAAACCAACTCAGCCATAGTATGGCAATGCTCGATCCGATCAGAAGAAGCTAGGTATCTGTAACAAACGGGAGAGTCAGAGATTGACTCATAGGTTGAATATGATTTGCATACTATCAACAGTAGAACCCCGAAAAGCTTGTCTACTATGACTGGGTTCGGTAATAGGAAACTTGCACATTTTTTTTTGATTTCAAAAATGTCTTGTACTACACTAAAGACATATAATAATAGTCATGCCAAATATCAAGCATTAAAAATCAGCCGTTAATTTTTTATAAATATTCGAAGTTACGCTCGAAACATCGCCATTTGAAACGACCGATCAGTGTGACGTCACTCAGCAACAAAATTCCGTTCACAGTCCTTGGTTGACAGTGACCTTCGAGCAGGTAGATTTAGATTATGGTTATGTTGTTATGTATGCCGTTTACAATGAACTATAACCAAAAACTGGAATGCGAACACATATTGACGAACTTGAAGCCTAGTGCGGCTGCTGCGGAGGGGATACCTGTTTTTGTCGCACTCATTATGTTAAATGGCGAAAATTGCTTCCAACACGTATTCCAATTGATGAAACCTGTGAAGGGAAATATGACAAAACTTTCGAAAACGTCATTTGTCAGCGAGCAACAGAAAAAAAAAAAACATTCCCCCTTGTGGCATCTGTCTTTCATGGCTTCATTTTTTTGGCAGATATGGCAATGTGTGCGCATTCCAGTTTTTAGCTATAGTTCATTGGCCGTTTATGATAGATTTGACATTGACAACACCAGCAGCACATGGCGTGGCAGCGGTGCGACCCAATTATTACTGCCTTGTGACGTCAGGACCCATAGAAATACGTTTTTGATATCGTCAAGAATTTCGAATTATTTGGTATTTTCAATTGAAGATTTTGGAAACCAGAGATAAGATATTATATCCTTTTCCTCATTGTATGATTTATTAGGATGATTGTTATTGTATTTTATTATTTATTTCATATTTAATTTAACGTGCATGTTCCCTATTGCATCTGCGAGCAACAAGAGTAAATTTTGATGGACGTCACGTGATCACTTATCTTTTTTTCACCTGTCAAATCACGTGACATCTGTCAAATTTTGCTCGCAGATGTAATTACCGAATTCAGCCTATGTAAAACTTCCTGCAGTTCAAAAATTAGAACTTAACACCTACGGTCCAAAAATAGGATGGCGGGGGTTTCTTCCAGTAAACACACTACATACATAAAACGTCATATTTACGTCCATACGTTCGTATGACCTATTCACTATTCAGAACATTCAGAACGTGCATAAGAGTACATTTTTGTATGTCTTATGTAGGTACATCTTTAAACATCCATATCCATATTACGTACATTCACGTTCACAATTTTCGTTTTATGTTTAAAGTAAAATACAAACATCACATTTCTATTATTTGATTTTGATTCCCCGTTAGTTGTTTAACACTGTCAAACAATTTAAATCACTCGCTTAGAAAATCGTGTCGTGTTTTCATCAGCGAGTAATGGTTAATAATCGGATCTGTTCCAAACAGTACTGGAAATTATAGGCAGTACCAATATACACCGTTTGGGGAACCTCACTTGACTTGCAAATTACTGTGAGGGTGGTTTAAGGGGGTAAAACTAATATTGCGATTCATCGAAAAGAGAGTTTTTGTGAAAATATGGACATTTTCACCCTAGCCTTGGGCACAAACAGTATTGGAAATTATAGGCAATACCAAAATACATCGTTTGGGGAACCTCACGTTGACATGCAAATTACTTCGAGGGTCTTAAACCACCCTAAAACTAATAATTTGGATTCATCGAAAAAAGGGTTTTTGTGAAAATATGGACATTTCCACCCTAGTCTCGGGCACAAACAGTACTGGAAATTATAGGCAGTACCAAAATACATCGTTTGGGGAACCTTACTTGACTTGCAAATTAGTTTGAGGGTGGTTTAAGGGGGTGAAACTAATAATTGCGACTCATCGAAAAAAAGGTTTTTGTGAAAATATGGACATTTCCACCCTAGTCTCGGGCACAAACAGTACTGGAAATTATAGACAGTACCAAAATACATCGTTTGGGGAACTTCATTTGTTTTGCAAATTGCTTTGAGGATGGTTTAAGTGGGTAAAACTAACAAGTGCAATTCATCGAAAAAAGGGTTTTTGTGAAAATATGGACATTTCCACCCTAGTCGGGCACAAACAGTACTGGAAATTATAGGCAATACCAAAATACATCGTTTGGGGAACCCCACTTGACTTGACTTTGAGGGTGGTTAAACTTTCCTCCGAGGTTTGTATACTATTTTATTTGCAAGCACACCATTAATTATGATAAGTCAATCAATTTTTTTAATATTAAAAAAATAAAATAAACATGCCAAAATGTGTCATTCACTGCTTTGACGTTTTTACCTGACATGTTCTCATTGTTGCCAGCAAAGGTGAATAAATTAGAGTGAGGGAAATCGGTGAGGGAAGTCGAATAGGGAAATCGGTGAGGGAAATCGAAGAGGGAAGTGACACTGGTAAAGTGTCACTTCCAAATTTTTAAAAAGTCAGTAATGACAAGATTACATATATGATTGCAAATAAAAACTTTTATTCTCTCGATTGCCAGTCAAAAAGTAAACGCGGAAGGTTCTTTTCTTTTCTCTTGGAAGTTGACACTCATCCCCACTTTTTCAGCTATTGAAAAACATCTGGTATTTTCTATTGGTGAATTATTTATCAATGTCAATCTTCAATTAAAAGCCGGAAAATTTGAGATCATTAAAAAAAAATTCTTCATGTAAATAATTTTTTTTCTTCTCCAAATT